TTTTTGTAATTTTCTATTAAGATTCTTTACTTTTTAAATTGTACTTCTTCATGAATATGATTATAGTTTGAACCCTGATTTATTCTCCGGCTCCCCACCCCTCTGGTTAAAAGGGTTTCAACTTATTAGCCTATTTTAGAAAAAAAAAAATTATCTTTATTTTTTTCTTTGGGCTAATCTACCTCTATTTAATACTACATACAAGAAATACTATTAAATCACTCAATTATATTTCTTTTAATAATAAAAAAAATTTCTCTCACATTTCTTTACTTTAGTTTTTTTTTTATTACAATCAAAATGTATTTAGATTAATTTTTGTATATTTCAAAATTAATGTCTCTTTTTATTTTAAAAATATACTCCTCACATTGATTTAATATATTTAAAAAAATTAAAATTTTTAAACATTAATTTAAATTTTAAATTAAATTAAATTTATAAAATAATATTTATTTATTAATAAATTCATCTATTGAAATTATTTACTTGCTTTAATTTGCATTTAGAGTTATAAATTTCTATTTTCCACGTCGTGTCTGCAATTTTCTCGTTTCGCCTCCCTTCACAAATTTTTTTTTTTTTGACCAAGTAGATGGTTAGGAAGTTAGTAGAGTTAGTTTGTTAGCAACTGAAATTTTTTCAAGAAAGTGAACGTCCCACCCCTCATTTGAAGCGCGCGACCATTAGATCGCAAGTTGGTAGAGTTTACGGCGGTGGCAGAGTTTGAAACCCTGACCTCCGCCTCACCCAAGCCCTAAAACTTGGGGGCCAACCAATTGGACCACAGGTCTGGTTCGCCCCTTCACAATTTTTTTTTATAAAGATAATAATTAGTGAATTAATATTATTAAATATTAATAACAGAGTATTCAATCCTCAAACTAAATTAACAATCCACCTACCCTAACGAGGCACACGGCCAGCAAGCGGCTTTGTGGAGTTCGCCTCTCTTCACAATTTTACTTTTCTATGTTTGTGTGCGCTGTACTTAAAAAGATTAGTACGAAAATTAAGCGACCCTAGAGTCCTAAGGAAAGGGCATCCGACGATGATTATAAAATTCAGCATACCCACGCGCGTGAAACCATAAAGAAGAAGAAATTGTCTGCTTTTGCATTCTTTATTATTTAGCAATTTCGTGTGCGGTTTGCTTTGAGGTAAATGTTCTTGGTTATTGGGTAATAATCTTCTTTCTTCAACTTAATTATTGTTGCCTTAATTTTCCCAACTTTTTTTATATAAAATATTTTTGACCTGATTGAGTTCTACACTATGAAATCTATATTTTGCCACATTCCGCGAAATTATGTGATTGTTAGGTGGTTAAAGATGTTAGATACACGATATGTTTTAAATAATATAATTTATTATTATATA